GTTTAGCCTAGATTGCATTGTAGTGATGCCAGTTAGTTTTCACTACTCATTAGCTCACTCGTACATGTCAGAATTGTGAAGGTACGTACAGACAGAGATTTTGGCGAAAAAAGGAATTTTGAGCTTGCAATTAAGAGCCAGAGCTAGTGGTCTTCTAAAAATGTCCACTTCACTATTTTGGTTGTTCTCACCCTCCTTTCCCTCTTCTTTCTGCAGTCTTTCAGAACTCAGAGTGATATGGCTGGCATTCTCCGCAAGCTCGCAGCATGCATCCCCTGCGTGTGGATCTTTCTCATGCTTTTCGACCCCAGCTTGCAAACCAGGTAGGATGACTCATCCCCACCTAGCTGCACTCTCTACCTTTTCTCTGTTCCCCATGTTGCAGGCTCTAGGGATGCATTGCAGCTAATACATTCATTAATAAGGTTGTATTACTGTGCAGGGGCTTTTACGATCTGCAAAATGTCATTGGAGCCAACCGTAGCTGGCTGTAAATCGCTGACACAAACTGCCATGAATTGGATTTTCGGTGGTGGAGCGGGCTTGGTTACAAGTGTGACTCAATAAACCTGGAAAGAAAGAAACGCTGGAAGAACCTGAGGGATTCCGAGACGTGTTTAGCCTAGATTGCATTGTAGTGATGCCAGTTAGTTTTCACTATTCATTAGCTCACTCGTACATGTCAGAATTGTGAAGGTACGTACAGACAGAGATTTTGGCGAAAAAAGGAATTTTGAGCTTGCAATTAAGAGCCAGAGCTAGTCTTCTAAAAATTAAGTACAGCATTAAATCATAAAAAAATGACCCCTGCCATGACATACATCTTTCTCCACCCATTCCAGGTGTGTCTCAAGTGTGTGTTCATAAAGGGTCTGATATACTTCAAGCAAAACATAAAATCGAACTGGTGTGATGTCATTTCGAACAAAATCTTGCAATTGTGAAGTTCATTTGGTGTTGGCCAAATAATATTTAGTTCAGCCCTTTGGTTTGAGACACAGGGCCAGAGCCACAGAGGGGTGTGATTGGGCGTCACTCCCTAAACCGGGCTGTCCTGCCCCCTCAATCAATATGATTGTGAAAAGGGATTTTAATGATTTAAAAAAAAAAAGCTGGCTGTAAATCGCTGACACAAACTGCCATGAATTGGATTTTCGGTGGTGGAGCGGGCTTGGTTACAAGTGTGACTCAATAAACCTGGAAAGAAAGAAACGCTGGAAGAACCTGAGGGATTCCGAGACGTGTTTAGCCTAGATTGCATTGTAGTGATGCCAGTTAGTTTTCACTACTCATTAGCTCACTCGTACATGTCAGAATTGTGAAGGTACGTACAGACAGAGATTTTGGCGAAAAAAGGAATTTTGAGCTTGCAATTAAGAGCCAGAGCTAGTGGTCTTCTAAAAATGAAGTACAGCATTAAATCATAAAAAAATGACCCCTGCCATGACATACATCTTTCTCCACCCATTCCAGGTGTGTCTCAAGTGTGTGTTCATAAAGGGTCTGATATACTTCAAGCAAAACATAAAATCGAACTGGTGTGATGTCATTTCGAAGAAAATCTTGCAATTGTGAAGTTCATTTGGTGTTGGCCAAATAATATTTAGTTCAGCCCTTTGGTTTGAGACACAGGGCCAGAGCCACAGAGGGGTGTGATTGGGCGTCACTCCCTAAACCGGGCTGTCCTGCCCCCTCAATCAATATGATTGTGAAAAGGGATTTTAATGATTTAAAAAAAAAAATTTAAATAATAATCTCAACTGCATTGGCTTTCTAACATTAAATGTAGGAAAGGTGATTTCAGAGAGGCTAGCAATAGCAAGCTAGCTTTGAAAGCATAAGATCCCACCCTCGCTGCGAATCACTCTTCAAAGCCATGCCTCCTCCAAAACACATGAACACACACAGGCAGACCAGAGACTGACCAGTGACACGATGAGAGACAGCGTTGGTGGAGGGTTAAATGCAGTGCTGTCAGATTACCTCATGTCTTATTCACCAGTAAGAAAACATTACAGTACAAAGTGCATAATATTACAATAATAACACCTTCCATTCTCGCTTGGTCTGCAATAGCGTAATGGAACGCGCTGATGACGTATCATGTCTACATGAGCAGGGTGTGCAGAGGTTTGCAAATACATACGTTGACAGGCAGATAGGACAGCCTATCGTAGCCCTCGGACCGAGGAATATGATTGGCCGAACATTTTATAGTCCTACACCTTCCATTGACAATATAAATACATAGAAATACATTTAGACCACTTAACTTAGTGATTGGTATCGGGATGTGAAGAGACTTTTAACCAGCATAACAAAAAATGTTTTTGAACCAAATCACCTACCCTGCCTTTAATATTAGGTTACTATATCAATATTGTAGTTATTTTCCCCCCATATTAGAGGGCGAGATAATTGGTTGTAATTAGTTGATTATTTCGCTTTATTGTTTTGTCACCGGTTGCAATTCTGGCTGTTCTAACTTACCATAATATTATGCATCTGTTCAGGACAAAATAAGCGTTATGTTAGTAAAATATGTGTTTTATAGTAAAGTAGTGGTGGTATCATGGTAACTTGTCTGTATTTATCTGTAATTGAGTATCTAAAACTTTTGGTGCTCTAAAGCGTGTTTATGTAATGGATGTAGAGTCACATTTTCAAATATGTTGGCCTGGGCAATTTTCCTTTAGTAAGTCTGGGATAATGCACATCAAGCCCGTTGTTATCACAGAATAACCCCCGACAGGGTGATCAGGACTCCGATGTGAAGCAGAGGTTATATTCAGCTTATTGTTATCAGTTATTTGTTATCAGCTTTTACCGGTTGTTATTGAGGTATAACATACCTCGGAATGTTGCGACTGACCAATCAGAATCAAGTATTCCACAGAGCCGTCTATAAGTAATATTATTTAATACTCTGCCATCTGTAGGTTTATTGGTAGATTTTAGTTCCATATCTGTAGTAAAGACAGGCTTTTTTGCTCCTGACAAATATGTGGGCCATTTAATGTGTACCTGAAGATACTTTGTGAAGATACCCCTTTCGTTACTTCAGACACCCCTTCTTTAATGCTGCATTCGCATCGGCTCTCGTGAGACACCAGTTAAAACATGAACACCCTGGAGAGCTAATCGTTGCAATTTAAGTTGTAATTATAATTTTGTAGTTATAATGTAACTGTCACTGGACTATCTTTGTTGTGTTTTCCCTCCCCATGTGCTCCGTGACCCAGTTTAGATTGTTCATTGATGTCAGGTGTGTCTTGTCTTATCCCTCGTTATCCTGTGTATTTAGCCCCAGTCTGTTCAGTCTGTGTTTGTCGGGTCTACTTTGTTGTCTACGTGTGTTTGCTCCAGTTCCTGATGTGGATTATCCCCTGTGTTTCTATGATTAAAGACTCTTAATGCCACTTCGTGTCTCCATCGTTACTTTCGACAGCATAGTGTGACAGAAGACCCAACCTTCAAAATAGTTTATTTGCATCTTCCCCTTCGTTTGTTTTCTGTGTTTTTTACAGTGTTTGTTTTCTGTTTTTCCCCGTGTTCCCCATGGATCCCCTCGCTGCCAAGTTAATCGCCCTAGCCCGCAAGGACCTTTCCCTGTTGGAGTATGCAGTTGAGTTCAGCCAGCTCGCCGTTTTAACGGCATTTGACGATGTTGCGCTGAACTCACTGTTCTGGATCGGGGCTAATTACCACCGCCCCATCGACCTCCCAGAGACCACCGGACTAAGCTGGAGAGAAGCTATCATCAGGTGTCTGGAGAGCGTCTATCTCCCATCCAGAATACAGCCAGACCCAGAGCCCTGCCCACCATCTCCCCGCAACCGACGAGCCATCGCCAGAGAGACCGACAGTGCTGAGGATCACCAAAGGAGCCCGAGCCTGTGACATCAGACCAGGTGTGAGAGCCGGCTACAGAGCTCGCCACGGGGGAGATCGTCATGGACAGTGAATGCACAGAGAGGAGCTTCGCCCCCTGCACCATGGCTGAGGGTGAGCAATTAATGGATCTGGGAATGTGGAAGGCTGAAAGGGCTCCTGTTGAGTTCAGCCCAGAGAGGGCTCCTGTTCCTGAGTTTAGCCCGGAGGCTCATAAATGCAAGCCAACCCACCCGGTCCTGCCTCCTTCACCGCTGTCGTCTGGCAGCCCCTCTGCTCCCCCTCAGCCCTCGATCTGTACTGTGGGAGCTCCGCGGGTCTGCCATCCTCCATCGTCACCATGGCTGGAGGATCCCCTGTCCTCGCCTCCAGCCTCTGAATCCGCCACGGCCCATCGACCCGTCGGCTCCACCATGCCTCCTCTCTGCCACCATCAGTCCACTGGCAAGGGCTCCTGTTGAGTTCAGCCCAGAGAGGGCTCCTGTTCCTGAGTTTAGCCCGGAGGCTCATAAATGCAAGCCAACCCACCCGGTCCTGCCTCCTTCACCGCTGTCGTCTGGCAGCCCCTCTGCTCACCCTCAGCCCTCGATCTGTACTGTGGGAGCTCCGCGGGTCTGCCATCCTCCATCGTCACCGTGGCTGGAGGATCCCCTGTCCTCGCCTCCAGCCTCTGAATCCGCCACGGCCCATCGACCCGTCGGCTCCACCATGCCTCTTCTCTGCCACCATCAGTCCACTGGCTCCACCGGGCTCCCTCGTTCCTCCGGCTCCGCCTTGGTCTGTCATTGACCATCTGTCGCCTCGGGACTCCACTCCTCCGGCTGCGCCTCGTCCCTCTGGCTCTGTCAGGCTCCTCCTTCCCTTCGGCTCCTCCTTGGTCCTCTGTCACTATGGCTGCACTGCGGCCTTCTGGATCTCCGCCTCCATATCGGTCGCCTGAGCCATGTGTTCCGCCTTGGCCCTCTGGATCCTCAGTGTCGCCTTGGCCCATTGGCTCTCTGTCTCCACCTCGGGCTCCTCTGCCACCTGCTCCGCCGCCATTGGTCGGCCCCCTGGAGTCGTCAGCCCTTCCTCCACCATGGCTCCTCCCTCCGTCGGCTCCACCGTGGGTTGATGTTTCGGCTGTGCCCTGGGTCCCACCTGGCACTGCCTGCTCCAAGTCCCTCCTGTCTCCTCCCTGGCTCCTCCCTCCTTCATCACTTCCCTGGTCTTTGTCTGCCAGCCCCCTCCCGGGTGTCCATCCCTTTCTTGAGCCTCCTCCCAAGTTCCCACCCGTCCCTCCTTCTGTTATTGTTACGGCGAGGGACGCGCCTTCCGGGAGGGGGGAGTAATGTCACGCCCCTGGACTATCTTTGTTGTGTTTTCCCTCCCCATGTGCTCCGTGACCCAGTTTCTCCCTCACCTTGATTGTTCATTGATGTCAGGTGTGTCT